ACCGCCCGCAACCCACATTCTACCCCCGCGATTCCGGCTCCCGCATCTCCACCAGGAAAACCCGAACCCGATATTTCCTATCACGGTCCCCTTCTCTTCTCGCCTCTTCCCTCTCGACCTCACCGACCGACTCCCCCATCCATCGAAAGCCCTGACCCAATCCCCCACCTCCTCATGCATCGCGCTCCCGCGAACCCCAACCCTAAGCTCTCCAGATTTGCGGCGGCGACCTCCGGCGTCGCGCTTAATGTTCGCGGCTGCGGGATTAGTGAGCCCCTCGTTCCCAGCCTTCAATCGAGACCGACCAACACGAGGAAAGGCCGTCTTCGTCGTAGCAAAGAGATGGAGGCTAGGGGCCCGCTCTGAACGCCTGAATGTCGGGCGTCAGCTCAGAAAGTCTCGTGCCGGCGGATTGGAGCAGAAAACCCCGGCTGAAAGGGCCGAAACGAAAGCAGCCTCGACGTTCGCGCACACTATCGAGAAAATCCTCTGGTAGAATACAATTGAGGACGCAGCTCGGAGCGCTTCATTCCGATTCCATTCTCCTCTCCGATTAACAGAACGTCCGTGGGACTTCTTCGTGTTCTGTCTTGCTTCGTCGGGTTGATTTTCGATAAGCTCTGCCGTACCCAGGAAGCGGAAACGGGCCGCCGGCCCCGACCTCAGCCGGGGACCTGGCCGCGCAGGTGCCCACGAGTTTCTCCTTGTTTTTTGAGAAGGACCTTCAGAGGAAGGAGTCGGTCGAATGGGTTAATATGGTTTTGGGGAAGTTGTGGAAGGTTTATAGAGGGGGGATTGAGAACTGGATCATGGGGTTTCTCCAGCCGGTGATAGATAATCTGAAGAAGCCTGATTATGTTAACAGGGTTGAGATTAAGCAGTTCTCGCTAGGGGAGGAGCCGCTGTCGGTTAGGAACGTCGAGCGGAAGACTTCTCGCAGTGTTAATGATCTGCAGTAAGTTTCTTCTCTCTTGCATATGAAAAATTTCAGCTATGTACCTCGCCGGATAATTTTAAAACCTTAGCCCCCCCCCTTAGCAAAGGTTTAAGAAAGAGGGATCGAGGAAAATGGTTAACCTAATTAGCCTTTTTGTTAGTCTGAACGGTTAAATTGAATAACCCAGTTGGGTAATATCTTTTTTTAAATCCTTCTGATCTTTTGAATGTCTTGGGGCAATGAGGATTGTGACTATATTCTTTGTAAATAGAGGGGTTGTCTTTTTAACCCATCTATGAGGTGGATTAGGAAACCCCTCACTTCTCATTAACGTAAAACGCAAAACAACATAGAGTACAACTCATGTCGCATATTTTATTGTTTTATTTAAATATTCACTTATTTCGTTCATAATTTTGCATTCATTTTATTCTTCAGAAATCAATTTCACAATCACAAGAATAATTATGTCATCAAAAGAAGTAAGCTTTGGCAAACAATTCAGAAGTGAATACTTAAATATTTTAAATTTTAAGAAAATAAAGTAAGTACTCTCAGGTCTCTGTGATATGTTATAGTGAAATAATGTGCATTATACTGAAATAGTGCATAATTTATTGTAAGAACGTAGAGTCATGACGTGACCGAGTTATTTCAAATGGTTATGACATGTTTAAGGCTTATTAGGTTACATAACACAAAATAATGAGTTGCATAACTAGTATTTTTTTTCCAACAATGATCCATCCATAAACATGCTCATGCGCCTACCCAACACCCCATTTCAGCCCAATTTCCTAAAAACAAAATTCTTGAGCATGTGAATTGCCTCGTTGGGTGTGAAGCTTGCGAGTTTGAAGCCCTTAGGTGCGAAGCCTATTTATCCTCTATAAGATAAAAGTAGACTAAAAAATCAGTTGAAGAGTTTTGTGGTGGGAACTAATTGGACAAGTAGATGAGAAATAATATATTTACACATACATGGATTTCTACAAGTACAAAAAAACCGATCTTTTGTCAAGGCTTAATAAGAATCTGGAACAATACCTCCAAAATAATTGATTATATTCACATAGTTTTCTAACCACCATAATCAAAATAAATGGTTGAGTCATCTAATTAAGCACGAAGAGATCGTGATCAATCAATCAAAAAGAGAGTAAACTACTAAACTCTAGAAAAATCTTACTATACAATCATCGCAGACCTTTAAAATAAGAGGCAATTCCCTCCCAAAAGCGTTCTAGCGCTTCAATCATTCCAATGACGGCATCAGTGTGAGATATTCCGCACCTCACACTAACGGATTCCTGAACTATATCTGATGCGCACTACAAACTATGGCTTTAAACAATGGAGACTAGAGAAGATCATGAAGGCTTGTGTAACATGGATCGGATAAGAGTTTTACAGAGCTCCGGATATTTTTTAGGCAATACTTGCTGTGTAACTAGGTTTGTCATTGTGTTGTAGTTGAAAGGAGGAGAAAGAGGGTAAATATTCGGAGTCTATAGAGATATATGATTGGAAAGTAAATTAGGTTTTTTTTCCCGATCTGAGGGTTGTACTGCACCTATTGGTTTTGTTTAGCATATTTTTTTCTTTCTGGAGTGTTACCAATTATCCGAATTAGGTTGTTTGCTTTGATAACGTAGATATCTTGAATCATGAGAGAATCCTCGTTTGAGGGGTCTCTGCTATTAATATTTGTTTGTTGCTGCTGCAATCTACATTTGATATTTGAGACACTGTGGTATTTGGAGCAAAAGCCTCATACTTTTTGTAGATTGCAATTGAGGAAAATTACTCTTCGTGGGCCTTTTTTGTGGGCCCAAATTGATTCATACATGTTTTAGCCCATACCCAAGTTCAAAACTATAATTTTAAATAGTTGGTGTCTAGCTCAAAACGAGCACTTTCCTATTTATAAGAATCAACATAATTAAAGAAACTTCAATATGCGATAGGAATTTTAGTTCTAATTACATATGAATTGAAAAACAATAATGATCTCATGTAAATTATTAGTTCCAATACATATATGTAGCTGTGTCTCTGTACCCTACATTTTAAAAATTCCCTTGGCTGTCTGTTTGGATTTGATCAGAAAGTATGTAGATCTCGGTAATGTCTACTTTTACGACTATCCAAACTTAGGATCTGAAAGGGGAACATGCAGATTATGAAGTCTTCGGTAGCTTTTCAAGGTGTGTTCAGATATGGTGAAGAGCTAACTGAACTTGAAACAATATTGTAAGGCCTTGACGGAGATTCGTCGGAAGTGAGGAATCGTCGACAACTTGGCAAGTTGATGTGATAGCTCATCAAGAACCGATCGGTTTCAGTGGTACTCGATCGGATCTAGATAGGTGTCAAGGGCATCACATTTGAGAGCCACCTCCTTTTAAATTGGAGCCCCTCTCCTGGTCTGCATCACCTATTCTAGCTTAAGAATATTATAGCTTTCACTAATTGAACAAGAGAACCCACCACTAATATACCACACAACATGTACATGGTTAGATGTACATGCTAACCAGGATGGCAGCTAGCACCTGCTATTCAACTTCAAGATATTGTAATAAAACATTTTATTAAGGACTTGTTTGGATTGAGGGGAATAAGGGTGAAGGGAAGTTAGGGGAACCATTCACCTTGTTTGGAAACATTTAGGATCACCCTAGTTCCCCTTGGTTCACCCCCTAATAGTATAACATTTGTTACCCGCAAATTAGGGTGTAACCAAGGGGAAGGGAATTCCCTTCCCTTCCCTTCCATTTTCTCACCTAGTTTCCCTTAACATCCCTTAACCCCATTGAAATCCAAACACACCCTAAGTATAATGGATCCAGTCAAGCCAATAACTCTATGCAGACTGGCCTATCTAAGAGACAGATCAGCAGAGTCTATCTAAGAGACAGATCAGCAGAGTCTAACTGGTTATATGACCTGAGCTCAACCTTTTTACATCTGTTCTGGCCATCTATGATAAAGATTTCCACTCCCTACAAATTTATATATATGGGACTAACATTAGTTCTAACAATTGAGTAATCTGGATCCTTATGGACCCAGATTTGGAGCTTCTCAGTTGCTTCTATGGGTACAAATAAATTTTTGTTGTTATTAGTCGAAATGCACACTATTGGAGGAAAAAAACGAGGTACACGTACATGAAAATTAGGTTGGAGAAAATTGAAGCATAGGCTGTAAACAGCTCTTTTTAAGGGTTGTGCAAAAATTTATACTATGTTGCACGGATACGGGAGCGGACACGGATATGGGTGCGGATACGGGACACATCAAAGCTGTAAAAGTCACGATACAGGGACACGTCAAAGCTATAAAAGTCAGGATACAAAGACACAACTATATGCATACACATTAAAATTAATAATCTATACGAGACCGATATTATTTTTCATTCACATGTTATGAGAACTAAAATTCTTTTATCATTTTTATGTTTCTTTTATTGAGTAGATCATAAAGTGAAAAACTGCTCGTATTTGAAATCAATACCCACACGGCCCTTTAAACTCATAGTTATGAACTAGATATGTGCTAAAACGAACATGTCTCAAGTCAAACAGATTGCATAAATGTAGGAGATGGATATTCAAGAAGTGTCCAAGGAGTGTGCTAAAATTCTTATATCATTTTTATCGTATCGTATCTGAAGGAGTGTCCGACACCGACACCGACACGATAAGTGTAGGAGATGGATATGGGAGTCTAGATGAAGTGTCCGGGTAACTTAGGATTTATGCGATATTTCATTTAATAATTACATAGTTTTAGTACATTTATGATGATCTTGAATCATCAAAATGATTATGAAGCAAGAACGAAGTTTGAATATTATGCGATTGGTTTTTTAAGATCTTTTTAGGAGTTCAAACTTTTAATTTTTAAGAATTATATTATAAAATAATTGTTTTTTTAAGTGTGGGGCAACAGATTTTAGATTATATTCAATGATTATATATGTTAAAATTATTTTCTGTATATCTGATTCATGGCATATATGTTTTGTTATGACAGATACCAAATTGGTGTTCGTTATACTGGTGGTGCTCGCATGTTGTTGTCACTGTCCTTGAAGTTTGGTGTCATTCCTTTAGTCTTACCGGTAGGCATTCGTGATTTTGACATTGATGGGGAACTATGGGTTAAGTTACGGTTAATACCATCTGAGCCTTGGGTAGGGGCTGTGTCATGGGCTTTTGTCTCTCTTCCAAAGGTCAAGTTTGAGCTGTCACCATTTCGCCTTTTCAATCTTATGGGTATGTTCTAATACTGATATGCTACTTTATTTAGTTTCTATTTTTCCATTATATTCGTTTAGTTTATCTTAGTTTCTAGTTAATTTTCATCAGCAACTGTGCTGCAAGGTGTTATCTTCAAGCTGTAAATAGGGAGGAGAACATGCCTAAGGATATAGGGTTTCATATTAAGTGTTTTGAGGACCACATCTGCTTTGAACTCCTAAGTCTAGAATAATTTTTTTCCTTATAAATTATCGAGCATGTCCATAAACTTGAATTATAGTCAAGTATGGGAATTATGTGTTTGTTTAAGGTTGTTGGCAAATGCACTTACAATATCATGTAGATCCAATGCTTGCTGTTGAAACACTCATCCAGTTGATGCAGGAACAACTCCCTTGTTTTTCAGCTATTTTGGTTTTACAACAACTCCCTGACTAAATGTGTATATTGAAATTTAGATGTAGTTAAACAACATAAGCCTCCAACTACCCCTATCCAGACACACTTAAACAATTTTGTATATATGAGAATGTTAATGTTCAACACGATGATCCAACTAGTCCCATCTGAACGCACCTTAAACAATTGTGTATATATGAGAATGTTAATGTCTTAGTGGTTCGTGTCAGCATGCTGATTTGAGCATCTTCTTGTTTTCACAGGATCTCTAGTCAGGAGGGAGATTTTGTATGATATACATTTGCTTGGAATAAATTACACACATTTCTATCTTTTTTTCTTTTGCTGCCAAGTCTGTTAAGCACAGACATACACACATATGCTGAACAATTCCTTTTATATTTATGTGATGTTAATTTCAATTTTTCTTGCATGGGCTTGGGCGTCTCCATCTTCATCAGCAATTCCTGTACTTTCAATGTGAGTGAAATATCTTTATTACTTTGTATTCACTTTATTCATAGATCTTTCACTGTGTTTTCTAAAGCTGCATCTCTGGAAGTTATGTATTGGATTTTTTTGAAGTTATGTATTGGTGCTTATATTTCCTGACACTCAGACAATCAAGAGTTTAATGCACTTAATTAATATATACTAGTTGGATTGCACGTGCAATGCACGTGGTAAATTTTTAATTTATTCTTTTATTATTGATTTATTTCATTAAGATTTATTTAATTTAAACCATGTGTCAAACATATTGATAGAATTTAAAAATTCAAAAGGATTGAATAATGAAATTACATTTATGTATCAAGTGGGTGATAATAGATTCTTTGCATCCTTAACAATAGAAAACAATGAATAATTTTATAAAAGAATTTTATTTGATATACAACATTGAGTTTCAATCAACCAATGCTACTTATATACAGATGACAGCAGACGACCTATTTAATCATAATAATCCAATATAAATGTTACTAAAATAGTAGCATCAATTTTTTGCTTTAGTCCTACTTGTTTCTATCTCCTCAAAACAAATAATAGTCATGCAACAAACAGTAGAGATACTATAAATATCTCTCTTTATCATTGGATATTTTGAGCTTTAATGGTTCTAATTTTTTTTTGAGCGGTAAGCTACTTATGCCTATTAGGAGCGTGAGATTTTCTAATTACATGTCTATGAAATTCATTGAATCAAAGTAAATTGTAAGATGCTAAAAAACTACGAAGATAGTATAGAGCAAGAATTTTTGAGAGAGCAAAGAACCAAAGATTCATACTCTTAAGATAACACTTCTATCATTGATAAAATCAATTGCAGATGAAACTAAAGGAGAAAAACCATGATACTATAACTAAAAAGAATTTCAGATTTGTTTTTATAGATATGTATCAACTTTAATTGATATTTCTCCTGTAGAGTTCACTCTCAAATTGGGCTCCAATAAGTTTCTTATTAGAATGAAATTTAGATGTCGCATAGATCCACTGAACCTGACTTATCATAGGTAAAAAACAATGACATATTGAACTATCGACTCACCAAAGCTTCTTTTGAATCATTTGCTACCCGTGTTTTTTTAGTAAGCTGCCTGCATTTACGACTTGTCCCGATGCATGGCGACGAGAAGAGTATGCTAAGCAACCATTTGTTCTCCCTTCTTTATCATCTAAATTAAAGTTTTCAAGTACGAAGTTTAGTAATTGCTAGTATGGGAAATGTATTTTTGGCAGTAGTTAAAAAAATAAAGATATTATAAACACATTTTATCTATATTAGATCTATGAACAAATGACCATGTTAATGAAACACAATAACTGAGTGGCACAGAATCACTTAGTCTGAAAATAGATAAAACATGTACTGGAGCAAGCATGAAAAAGAAAATTTTTTAATAAAAAAAGTGAAACAGGATGTATTCTACGACATAATTAGATGTAACAAATTTAACAGAAGACTCCTAAATGAACAGTTAGCAAAATCAACTACCAGATTGTCTTTTGACATTACCAAGAGCTGGTGCCTACCCAGGGCTAGGTCCTGCTCCAGAACCCTATATAGAAGATAAAAAATGAGCAAGGTGTTGTTATGATAGAGAAAAAGAAATCAAAACAAATGAAAACCTATCTACAAGAAATTAAGCCTATATATGCAAGACTTACAAGAGGTCGTGGAGGAGTGCTAGCAATTTGTGATTGATGATACTTCAATGTCATTCAACATCTTGCTTGAGAATTACAGATATCTAAACCTGCCATCAGCACAAAATTCCTCGTTAACAGGAACAATATGAGTTACCAAAATACCTTATCCTCGCGAATAAAAATGTTACAGAATATTCTTTTAAGTTATGAAAAATTAGGCTTGTCAAAACGTAGTGAACGACAGTAGTGGTAGTTGGATGCAAATTATGTAGGATATCCATGACATAATGCCTGAAGATAATATATCAATGTCTTTGTTCTTCTAGCAACCAAATGTAGTAAACACAAGCCACCTGAAAATCACTTGATGTTATTAATAAAAGAACTTCTCTACCATTTTCTCCCCATCCAACTTATAGTATCAACCCAGTTTCTAGGTGCATGCTTCTCTTAGACAAATTTTCTAATAACCCTCCACAATTGGGAAGTGAAATCACAAACAAAACATAGATGATATTTATTTCCAGGATGCAAATTGCAGAAAGGAGACAAATTGCAAAATTATTATCTAAAATACCAAATTGTATTAGTTTTTCTCCTGTAAGCTGTAGGTAACTTATTCAAGCAACAACAAGTTAACTATTACATCATGATGATACTAAAAACTTACCTTCACACTTTTAGTCTACTATGAACAAAAAGTTGAAAGGAATTTGAAATGGCAACAAAAAAGGAAGGAGGGAGGGAGGGAGGGAGGGAAGAACAGTCAACCTTCTATTTTAACATTAATCTCTAATTATAATTACAACCAGGCAATTTAATAGGAAAACATGCAGGTATATTAGTATATGTATAAGAGAAGATAAAACGTCACATTTAATCCACCCTATAACCAACAACTCAACTATGTACAATTAAATAATTAAATACATATTTCTTCATGAATCATTCTTCTTAATAAAATAAATATTCCAAATTATCAAACTTGGGATGAGAAATATTAAATACATATTTCTTCATGAATCATTCTTGTAAATAAAATAAATATTGCAAATTATCAAACATGGGATGGAAAATATGAATACTTAGAAGAGTAATAAAGGAAGTTAAAAGTTTTGACACTCATATTCTCTTTTATAAATAGTATAGATATAGATATAAATGATGATAAGTGAGGTTGCCTCTCTTAGGAATTGTCAGTCCATTTCAGGTTTAACTCCTACACACATTGCAGTATTTGAGAGCATGGGTTCTCGAGCTAGTGATGTGCCAAGAGCATAAATAATACATCAGTGGCGAGAAAAGAAAGGTAGTATATATCAAATAATCGTGGCTTAAAAATATATTAAAGGATATAGAAAGATAAAGCACCCCAGAGTGGAATAGCACAGGGACTCAAAAGGAGTAGAAATACAAAAATGAAATATCGTCTTAAATAAATTCAGTGGAATAGCACAGGGACTCAAAAGGAGTAGAAATACAAAAATGAAATATCGTCTTAAATAAATTCAATATAGATTCACTTTTTGCTTATCATCAGAGAACAAAGGTTATGAAAATGCTCAATTATTACCTTTTTCACTAAAATAGTACCCAATAACAAAAAGATCAACTGATTTAATAACAGAAGTTTATGTACCAATCAATATTCGATCATAAGCATAAAACTCTGTTTCATCCAAAAATTCGGCTCAACATTGCTGCTAAACGAACTCCAGCTTCAGCTAAGCTCAAGCTCACCATAGACATTCTACTTTCAAAATACTCATATGTAATAAAAATTTGATTTAATTTACATATAGAAATAGAGAATTATATTATTAGTTAAGATTATTGTTCTGGATTTTTATGCCCCATGTTTATGTTATGTAACATTTTTTTGGTGTTTTTACTCATGCCACTTATTATATGGTTTCCACATAAAAAAAAATGAAAGATGGTTTTCATTGATTTGACCTATTTTAAAAGTGGTTTTCATGGGAAAAACCGTAATACTAAGTCCATATTTTACCACAAAGTGTTTTCCCTTTAAAAGGAAAGTGTCTACAAAGAGCATATCCTTAATAAGTATATACTACCTAAAATACATTTGTACAGTTCTATTTCAATATCATAGAAAACATCTACATGAGAAGAAAGCATTATTAGCACATAAATTTTTTTGAGACTATAAGATTAATGGTAATTGAAAAACACTCAAAGCAATAATTTAGTATATGTTGGAGTTATAATTCTCTACTAATTACTAAAGCGATGAAAACATGTCTTTATTCAAAATATAATCAGAGTCATTAAGAAAAAATTGGATTACACAGCCATTAGCTATCCAATGAATAAAGAAATAATAAATAATCATATAGGAATTCAAGCTAATTTTTTGCATTAATCAAGTTGATTTATCCAGACTTTTAGTGGAGTAGCAAGAGCTATTTGGTTAATTGGATGACCCCTCATATACACCATAAGGGGTCTTAGAAGTGTTCTTTGCCTACCTTCACATACTGAAAGTAGAAAAATCCATATTATACTTTTATATATATATTAGGCAAAACAAGCTACACTAATAAAAAAATAAGATTAAGAATGTACTGGGATAAAACTGGGCATATTTGATGAATCCAATTCTATATCCTAATGATGATCTCAGCGATGGAACTTTTCCGAGGAGTACTCATCTATTTGAGAATTTGTTAATGAGAGTCTTAATGAATCTTGAGCAGCTTGAAAATGACGATCAAAGACAATACCTGAAGTTATCTCTTCTCTGAGAGCAAGCATGCCTGCTTCAGTACATAAACCTTCTCGATCTGCACCTGTGAAGAGTTCGATGCACTTTGCTACTTGCATAAGCTTCACATCTTCCTCCAAACTCATTTTCTTTATGTGGATAGAATTTCACAACGTTCTTCTTTGTCCGGTGGTGGCAGCGTACAAAGAATTTCACAACGTTCTTCTTTGTCCGGTGGTGGCAGCGTACAACACCTAAGACATAATGAAAATGTATATCATCATAGGTTATTTGTTGAAAATACAAATTATTTGTACAGTCTAGACATCAACAATTTTATAGATTAAGCTTGCTAATGTTTCAATTGATTTAATTGTAGTTAGATCCCTTGTACTATTGCCTAATCACAAATAAATCTCCTATAGTAAATTTTTGGCTCTGTTACGATCTAAATATCTATTTGTCCAAAGAAAAATAAAAAATAAAAAATGCTTGTTTTTTAAGGTAAAAGAGTCAAAATAGTTTTAGTTAGGAGGTCTACCTGCAGAAAGAAAAATTCTAAGGACATTCGCCTTTATGGATTTGTCTTCGGACACTCACCCTAAAAGTAAAAGGGTGGGTGTGGTTTAGTTTTCTGATAGGCTTAAATTAGGGTTAGGTTGGGTTTTACCATACATGGCGACCTAATGATGCAAGTGATAGCAACACTCACATTGCGCGAGTATCGTTAGAATTCCTACTACAACAATAGTCTACAAGGGGTCCATCCAAAATTTACTGATAATATATGGTGTATATCTGGAAGTAACCCTATCAAATTTGGAAAGAAATCATTGATCTTAGGAAATTAAATGGATGAAGTGCACACTTTATTGTGTTGTAAATAGGGGGCATATTCATAAAGAACTATGAGAGAGAGAGAGAGAGGAGGTAATGAGAGAAATTAGAGGAAATCAAAGGGAGACTCACTTGCTATTCTTTTTTAATATCTCTCATTACCTAATGAGTGCCCGTAGGCATTCGTTAAAAAAATTGATCCTGCTTTGATGAAAGCAAATAAACCAAGAACATTCTGAAACTTTTGAACTAAAAGGCTAAATTGCATAAGTCATACTTTTAGTTAACATTAACTATTAGCATGTGACCATGTAAGATGAATACATACCAATTCAAAGTGTCTAGGATGCTTGAATGCCTATGGATGATGTGCAACAACCAATATAATAATTCCCTACATATCAACGGGGTCTTTAGAACAGAATTGGTCAAAGACAGTTCATAATTAACAATTTTCTTGCTTCCTAATTAAAAAAATAAATGAGATGAGGTTTATTGTTGCCTGCTCTAGGCCATCCATTTCAGCCAGCAGCGTTAACGATAGTCTCTCCCAAACATAAGTAATGCCACTTGAATCCCTACCATGACCCTATTTATAGGAAATATCAATAATGTTCAATAAATGTACAAATATGTCCTAGTCAATTAATGTACTATCACATTACCAAGAAACTTAACAGGAAAAAAAATCCACCTTGAAAGCCAAATAATACACTTGAAAACCAACAATAGTACATTTATACTCGACGAAAAACATAGATCCCTAAACATTTCTCACCTTGGTGTTCATATAATAAACTTGAAACCAATAATAATACATTTATACTCCATGAAAAAAAATCTTCAATTTATACTCCATGAAAAAAAATCTTCATTTCACCTAAAAAGTGAAGAAAGAAAATACATTAGGCAAAAAATCAAAACCTCACTCCACTGTAGGCACTACAAATCAACTGAATCATGATCATTAGGCAAAAAATCAAAACCTCACTCCACTGTAGGCACTACAAATCAACTGAATCATGATAAGATGATAGCTTTTTCAATGTAATCTTGTGTTATACTTCGTCTAGAGGTGTTATTTCCACCCGTGTAAGGCAACTTCAACATAGGTTCAACACTTGCTACTATCAAGAAATGATTCACAGTCAACAATGAAACTGTAGCAAAAAGAATTTCAGCAAGAAGAGGAACGGAAATGGAAGGAGCGAAAAAGAGCTCACCTTTTGAATGCTCTTTGAGAGAGAAAAGTCGGAAGCATGCATCAAACAATAGAGAATCTCAATTAAGTAAATATGTTGGATTCACATTAAAATTTCAATCATCATACAAATCAAATTGTGAGTAATTGAAACTTAAAATGTTTAAGAAAACTAAATTATTACAATCGATCGAATCAAAACATATCTAAAGAACAACAAAAAATTTAAGATCAAATGAAATAGGAGGTGGTTAATTACCTTATCACAGCTTTCAAATAGGGTTGATGCCGGGGCGCTTCTTCTCAAGAAATATGATTGTCTACAATGGCTTCGGACATAGTTTTATTATAGAAAAAGGAAGTGAGAGTTATGTTAATATTTTGAACAGAAGTTGTAAGGTTGGAAATGATTTTCATTTGGAAGAGGAATTGAAGCGGCGGAATAAAAAAAAAGAAGAAGAAAGAATGGAAAGCTCGTTGCGGAAAAAGAATTTGAAGCGGTGACAAAAAATGAGAGGGGGAGCTAGGTGCAGTGAAAGAACTGATTGTTAGCTATTATGAACAGTCAACCTTCTATTTTAACATTAATCTCTAATTATGATTACAACCGGGCAATTTAATAAGAAAATATGGTACATTAGTATATATAAGAGAAGATAAATGGTCACATTTAATCCACCCTATAACCAACAATTGTGTACAATTAATTTAATAATTAAATACTATTTATTCATGAATCATTCTTCTTAATAAAATTAAATAAAGAAAGGATAACTTTGTTAAATTAATGAAAGATGAAGGATATTTTGGGGTAGAGAAAGTTTTTCTAGTACTCTCTCTTTTAAAGTGAGAATGATTATAGTCTGTTACGCTGGAAGTGCCTTGAAACATATCACTCGTCTATTGTCTCAAATAGTATTATGTGTGTCCATGTCATTTGTGACCTTGATATTCATGCTGTTATATTTTATGCAAATTCAACAGTACAAAATGTTCAACATTCGATTACTTGATAATTGCGGTATGTAGATCTTTTGTCCTCATTTGAGCTTCTCATGATTCAAGAATTTATGTCGGGAACTTGAATGTTATAGCAATTTTGAAGATGCTACTGCCAAATGGTGGAGCAAACAGTATAGATTGCACAATTCAAAGATAACATTCTTGGATTAAAGGTACCAAAGGGCAAGGATACATAGACATCAAAGTATGTAAAAGGAAGCAAAATTTGTTTGTTTTTGGATTCTATAGTATGCACTATATCTTGGTTGTGATGGATAAAAGGCTATGCAGATGAGGGTCAAAACTTGCTCGCTGTAATACATGTTAACTTTCTTTCTATTTTAAAAGTATTTAATCATGTAAATGAGTTGAATAAGAATATAAGAAATAATTACAACAATGACAACAGAGCCTTTTTCCCAAAATTTTGGGGTTGGCTTCGTGAACCGGTTCTTCTGTTTCTAGAGTCATCTCCTCCGCTAAGTAAACTATTATCATATCTCAATTTATATCTTCCAACCATTTTAGGCATCTCTCTGTGGTCTTCAGCCCCATTAATATAATATTTTGACTTCCCCTAATCAGTGCATTAAGAGCGCTCTGTTGTACATGACCAAATCATAAGTCTGTTGTTCAATCAATTGAGCTATTATTCTAGTTTTATAAAGATTGTAAATATAACTTGAAAAAGAAAGGCAGTAAAAGCTTACAAGACACACATTGAAAATAAAATAAATATTTGAGTATCAAAATGCATCTGACTACCATCAAAAGAGTGTTCACTGGTAAGCACTAAGACAGGTGCTAAGTAGTACCCATGAAATATTCTTCTGGGTATGCGTTGTACAAAGATGATTCTTCATTATAGAAGTATCAATTAGGTGTTTTCACTTTGTGAACGTGGTTATAATTTTTCTTAGCTTTTGATTTTTCTTCTGATGTATAATCTATAATCATCACCAGCAGCAGCTAAATAGTTGTTTTCCTTTTGACTAGGTTCTTAACAAAGCTCCTTACTGAAGATCTACCTAGACTTTTTGTGCGCCCGAAAAAAATTGTCCTTGATTTTCAGAAAGGTAAAGCACTTGGTCCTGTTTCAAATGATGGTAAAGCCGAAACAAACAATGAGGGGAATAAAGATTTTGTTGGCGAGTTGTCAGTGACTCTGGTTGATGCTCGGAAACTTGGTTACGTTATATTTGGTACCAATCTACTTTTACTTATTTACTCCATTATCTTTTTCATCTTTGCTACTTGATTCTTTAGAAGGAGCAGACAGAGAAGAGAACAATAGTATCCCTCTCTTTATAGAGCTACTTGTGTTTTTAATACTTTTTATGACATTTGATTTGGTCTATTTTAACTTAATAGCTTTTGCAATATGCACTGTTGAGTGTGCTTCTATTAGTGCTATTCTTGTTAAAGGGTCATTCTTCTATATATAAGTTATTTGAAGTGCTGGGTAGCAAAGTGTGCTGTGTAGTGTTATATATGATTGAGATGATACTAAAATTTAAAACATTCAAATCTGTTAATCTGGTTTATTATATAATAAATGGTTTGGGATTATGTGTCTTGGCAGGGAAGACAGATCCATTTGTTGTTCTTAGTCTGGGTGATCAAGCAATTCGAAGTAAAAAGAATAGCCAGACGACAGTCTTTGGGCCACCCGGGGAGCCAATATGGAACCAGGTAACATATTATTGGTCCTAGTAATGGTATGCTCTGGTCAGTTACTATGGTTCATGAAAATTTCTAAACATTAACCTTGCATTACTTTGGTCAAATGCTTTCATATTTATTCCGGTTGGATAGTGATGGATATTTTGTTTTTTGAACAGGATTTCGATTTACTTGTTGCAAACCCTAGAAAGCAAAAATTATCTATTCAAGTAAAGGATTCTTTTGGCTTTGCTGATTTCACTATTGGCTCAGGAGAGGTAAAAGTTTTTCAACTATACTATATTGGTAGGTGCAATAAGGAACCTGTAAGTCAATATGATTATCAAGATTAGATACATCTCCTTCTATCTGAGCAAACAAATATAATGGGGAAGATTTTGAAGCATGTCAACCTTACCCGCAACATACATGAGAGGCCACAGGAAGTGCTTATCTCAAGCTGTAGCAATTCTTCTTTTTAAGTAGGATGTCATAGGTTTGAATTTCCCCTGGTGCAATAAATAAAGGCACATATTTGCAGGTTCATCGCTAGCAACTAATGTTTAGAGTGCATGAAAGTGTTGCAGTGGTTTGTGGAGGTTGAATCACAATATATGTGCACAATAGGAGGATATAAAAAATCACCCATATAGAGAGAGATCAGAAAGAAACTCTAAATTCCTTGATACCTAAGTAAGAGACATTTCGTAATCAGTTTAAAGAAAACATCTAGTTCAGTATATCTAGTATAATGGGAACTACCTCACAAATCATAATGTTCCCTTGTATCCTAGCATCACATAGTTAAAAGGGGGGAACATCAGCAATTACAGAAACCTAAAAACAATGATCATATTGTGTTTCTGGATATTATTTTGCAAGAACCATTCTTTAGTGGGAGTTAGTGAGAAAAGAGGGTCAAATGGATTCAGGTTATTTCTTGTTTTGTTTTTCATCTGTGTATTCTTTTATCACTTCTTTTCCTATCCTCTGCTCTACATTTATTAATTTTTCTTCTTGCTGCCATTTTAGATTGAACTTGGTTCCCTTCAAGATACGGTGCCAACAGATAAAATTGTAGTTTTGCAAGGTGGTTGGAACTTTTTCAAGCGGCAGGCATCAGGAGAAATATTACTCCGTCTTACATATAAGGCCTATGTTGAAGATGAAGAAGATGTAGCAGATATGAAACATGTGGATAATGATTTATCTGATGACGAGATATCTGATTATGAGCAAGCAGAAAATGCATCTGGAGAAAGCAAATTTGAAAGAGAGAGAGAATCATTTATAGATGTCCTAGCAGCTTTGCTTGTAAGTGAGGAATTTCAAGGTATAGTGGCATCAGAAATGGGATTCTCTAGAGCTTCAGAGGAGTTCAACTATCCAGAACCACCAGTATCAAGAACACGTGGTCGCGGTGCTGAGAACTCTCTTCTCGAGTCTGATACCAATTCTGGAGGTCCAAAAGGTATTACCTGTATGAGGTTTCATTTATGAAATTTAAGCATATTGGATAGGATTGTTGCAGATACATCCCCTGTACTATAGGATGTAACCACTTATGCCCCCCCAAACTTTTTTATGAGCACTTCAACTCCCTAGAACTCAAACAGTATGTTTTTTGTTTGCCCTCAGTTTAGAGGGCAAGTTATTGCCTTTTCCCCAGTTAACTTGAAGTCAAATGGTAACTCAGCGCGTGATTACTCCATGACATCTCAACCTATGAACAAATACGTTTTGGAGTTCAGGCAAATGGGGATGTATGCTAATAAAATTTAGGGGAATGACTATACCCTTATAGTACAGGGTGTGTCTCTGCAATTAACTCTATTAGATAGCAATCGGGTCAAACTTCAGATGACAGTTTTATTCATGCTATTCAACTTCTCTCCTGTCTGTAGATTCAACATTAATCTGGCTTGCGGTGGTAACAAGCATAATGATCCTGATATCTGTGAACATGGCCGGTTCAAGTTTCTTCAATCCATGATGTGATCAGCAAAGCCTGCAAAAGGAGCCAACATGTGTTGTTTTGCTCTAATAAAGTGAGTTTCAACAATATTACTTGAATCCAAGCAAAATACGTCAGTGGCCTCTTTTATATTTGCTGGTTGATTTGCAAAAAATCAGTTTGCATTACCGATTTAACTGGATTTTATTTCTGGTTGAAATATTTAGACAACGTGCTTAAATGTTTGCTCCCCCCCCCCCCCACACCCAACACCCACCTATTTACTAAGGTATAATCTTATTTTGTACGTGAATTTACAAAATATGTGCAAGAGCAACCAGATTTTGTAACTATAAACATATTGTAGAAATTCCTCAAATAAATGAATTCTTCAGTTAAACTGTTATGTTATTCAGGTTTGCTGACATCAACTGTCAAAAACAATTTCTCTGCTCCTTTTTTTTGAGGTTTCACCTGTGCACATAGCTTCAAAATGTTGATGATATCCAGACATAAAAATAATTTTACAAAGAGAAGTTGAGGGCGTGTTTCCATGGAAATTCTCAGGATTTCATTAAATAAGTAGGTCCAACACGACCAAATTCCTCACACAGAGGTTTTATGTGTTTCGATGAAAAATTAACTGAGGGAAGTAGATGGAGTTTATAGCTGTGTCAGCAAATTTGTGTCAGAAATCCTCACTCTCTTGAGGATTTTGGAGATGAGAACACCTTATATTCAACTTTCCATTAATAAATAAAAGAAAGAAAAGAAAAGAAGAAAGAAAGAAAAGAAATGGTAAGATTAGGATTTTTGAAGAGCTCTGATTTTTGTCACAATTACAAAATCTGATTTTCTCGGGCAAACTGTGCCCCTTAAACACCGTGAGTTATGTGCCCAAGTTGGCAGGAAACATATTATGTATGGATGCCATCATATTTATCCGTTAATTTTTCTCCCATTGATACGAAGGCTAGTTTCTGAAGGCTGTCCAAAAGCTTTATTGGACATTTGCAACCTTTTGTATATTGTACTTATGATTATTTTCCTGAGCAGTTCTAGTTGTAATTTTACTCATACAATTTCCTATTTTGCAGGTTCCCAAGTAATACGTTGCGTTTCAAGATGAAGAGCACCCACCATGTATTTTACGAGATTCATCAGTTGCTAGAAGAGGAAGTGCTGATTGCGGCATTTTTGTTCTTTCCCCTAACGTTTAATTGTTAATATTCCCTTGTATGTATTACTTCTTGTCCATGTCATTTCCCACCCATAATTTTGTTGTTTCTTGAGTTCATTGATGCTTTGTTGAAGTGCATTTCTCAAGTTCATTAGTAAATCTTATGTGTAGAAGTAATGTTTCACAAAGGCAGAGAACTGCAGAGATTTAGCCCTTATTTCATCTATTCTCTGCTTTTTTGTAACTGAAGAGAACACAAGGACAGGATATCTTTGCATTAATGTAACAATATTTGTGCAGCAAACATATTCCTACAAAATAAAATGAATAAAATAGTCATAAAAAGAATTCTTTCAAGCCATAAAAAAAAAAAAGAAATATGGGAGCAAAGAAAGCAAAAATGAAGAGTTCGCTTCTTCATAATGGGAGGGATGGGATCAAAAGCCTCCTCCGTAGATCTCCTAGAGAGCTTTCATAATGTGTTTATTGCTCTGTAGCGCTTCTCTCTTTTATTTGCCTCTTCTATTCCTCTATAATAATGGGAGGATCCAAGATTCACTATTTATGCTACAGTAAATACTATAATAAAACACCGTAGTATTGTTACTGTAGTAAAAACAGGAGAATTCAAGATTTACCCTTCATGCTACAATAAATTACTGTAGCACAAACATGGAAATTATAGCGTTTAAAAACATTATTGTAACATTATTATTGTATCTCAGGTAGGATACTGTGCATTTAAAAAATATTACTGTAGTACTTACAAAAAAATAGAAGAAATAAAAAAATAAAAGTCGTGTTTTGCACGGGGTGCACACTAGTATCATTTTATAGGCAAATGATAATTTATGGCACGCTTAGATTTTGTGGGATATTTCAACTTTTACCGTCATATTTTCCGGATCAAAATATTTGACGTGAAGTTAATTGCACATTAAAACAACAATGTAGCTGAGGTCCTTGCTTTTCGGCTACTATTTCATTTAATGAGCTGAGCTTCTGCGTAGGGATCATCCATCTTCCTTTTGGATGCATACTCTTTAAAGATTTCTCAGATTTTTAACTGCAAATTATAGCTTTTAATTAGGATTAGAAATTGAATACCGTGATTATTTTGGTAATTATTTCGAACAAGTTTTTTTTTTTGATCAAAAAACAGGGGTTAAACCCCGTTCATTAAAAACCAAAAATCCAAAAGAATGTTTAATTACAAAAGCTTAGACACGAGCTGTATCTAAAATGTTAGAATATAGAAAATAGAATTTCTACTAGTAGTGATGTATAACTTTCTTCTTCTAAAGATTCGTGAAGATGAAGAGAGGGTCTTGCCATCATTCACCGTTAAGATATGTCAAAATACAAATATACAATGACTTTCATAGTTATTCACATCAGATCTAAGCGACTCAAAATATTCTTGATTACAATAAATAGTTTTGCCTTTTTTCCTTAAGAAAAATTTCGCTCTTTTCTATATAAAAAATAAAATTTTTGTTCTCATAATATTAAGACAAATTGAGGAAAATGATCTCACTTAATTTGGATACAAAATTAGCAATCCTATATCTCTGATCTGGCCTCACCTATAATGCTCTCTATATAGTATTATTTTAAAAAAAAAATCTTTTTTCCCTTTTTTTCCTTCGTATTTTCCTCGTGCTATTGCTAGATGTTTTCGAAACACAAAACCCTTCAGGTTTGTTTGACCGATTATATTATAAATAAATGTAGAGAGTTGAAAAAAAAAACATTTCAAAGATTTATCCTTCATCTCATTTATTTTATTTTGTAATTTGTTGCTCTCCATGGAAATTTGTTGTGAATTTATGTAACAGTCAGCGCCAAAACGGAGATGAATTTTTCTCATATTTAAAAAATACGAAGAAAAAGTTTAAACTCTAGTCTGCTGTTTAAAGGTGAGGAGCTCATGTTTGCTAATTTTTACCATGGCAATGTGTGTATGTCTTAGGTAGAGAGTCCTTCAGAGCTTGGAGCATACTGCATAAGGATGTCAATTTGATTTACTAGATTTTTTTTTCGTCCACCTTTAATGTTATAGATTTCTTTTGAATTAAACATGTTTATGTACTGCTTATGTGTTTTTAGGGTAAACTTAAACCCCCAGTGAACTTGCCGCATTCTGCAGGAAACCGTATGAACTTTTAAAATTACACAAATCTCCCAGTAACTTTTTTGTTTCGCTAAAATCCTCCAATAATTTTCTGCATTTTGCAGATAAACCCCAAGATTAGAAACAGAAAATAATATAAAAAAGTATGTTAAAAGTTATTGGGACGTTTTGTGTAATTTGCCCGAAAGATAATAATGATTTTCTGCAAATGTTACCGGGGGTTTATCGTGATTTTGGAAGTTCATAGGGATTTACTGGAAAACACTGAAAGTTCATGGGGTTCTCCCGTTCTTTTTATGGCATGATATTGAGTCTCTTCGGTGGGAAGAGTAAAAGGGTGTAAGAATAATTAGTTTCTGAAAAGAGAGTTGTTTGCACTAATATATCTTATTTTTTATTTTATTTTATTACATTTGAATACTCTGTTGTTGTTTAAAATAGCACATTACTGTCTTGAGTGTCTTCTATTAATCAACTATTGGAATATTCCTCTAAATATTTTTATGTGAATTTCATATGTTAAAGTTACTCAATTATTATATTATATACTCCCTTTAAAAGTGAGAGTTTGGGAAAAGTTTTCAATGGATAAAAATATTCTTGGCTCATTTAGATATTACATTATTATCATATCCTAATTAATTTCTCTAATTATTTTGTGTAAGCTTCAATATCCTATCCTATTCTAATTAATAGGTAAATAATATGTACTTTTGATAATATGTAAATAAAATAATTCCAATATTATTGGCTAGGTTATGTATCTTGATACTTGTACGTATATGAGATCTTCATCAAATTATACTATTGGTTAGGTTATCTTGGTACTTGTATACATTATAAGCTCATCATCTTTGATTTAAGCATATTTGATCTAAGTATATAATTAAGAATTATATTAAGATTAATATTATTAGCTAGGTTATTTTAATTAAAAATTATATTGAGATTAAGATTATCCGCTATGTTATCTTGGTACTTGCATACATTATATGCTCATCATATTTAAATTAAGTATAATTAAAACTAATATTAAGATTTGCTTCCCTAGATATAAAACAATACCCACATGCAACATTCATCAATATCCACGTGAACAGATTTAATTTAACTACAAATTGGGGTTTTCAATTATTTATTCTATTTAAAAGTATTATCCTCTCACGTATAACTCTTTTGCCTAGCTATATATAAAATAAGAAATTACATAATTTTCATAGCAATTTCATCTCTTAAAGCTTCAACATGTATGTCCTCTCGTCTTCATTGTCTTTATTTAGTAATATTGTGTATTTGATTCAACGGTGATATTTGTATATACTAGCTTATATATACATAACTTTTATAGCAATTTCTCCAATTGTTCTAGAATCACCTTCGTTAGTGTCTCATTCAACAGGTATGTTTCGCTATCTTTATTGCTTTTCTTTAATAATATTATGCATAATTTTTCTTTACTAATATTATGTAACTTTCATAATTTTAGATTTACGTGTAAAACTCCATGTTTCAGTGCAACGTGAAAATTTATTTTATTAATACTACTTCTTCCATCTCTGAAAAAGAAAAAAAACTATTAATCAAAATTTTAAGGCAAATAAAATTGAGTCAAAAAGATGAAATTTTATTTTAGTTTTTTCCCTAACATGTTATTCTCCTAGCGTCGTCTCAGATAGAAATAGAACAAAACCATTAATAGTGTGTTTGTAGCTGTACAGTGTAGATTCTCTTGCCTCCTCACTAAAAAATTTGCACCATGATTAAATACTTATTAAAAATTCCTCATTTTCTGAAAAAAAACTCAGCAAGAAATTTAGACTTGTTCTTAACAGATTGAAGAAAAGAATGGTGATACTCATGAATATCTTCTACTGTTTTAGTTTTATTATTAAATTGCTGAGATTGACGAGACAAAGAGAAAAACAGTTTGTTAGTGAATTATACATATAATTCAAGCTATTATTAAAAATTAAATTAAAAATATTTTGATGAATTAAGAAATAATTTTCAAAAATAAACCCTATATTAGAATTTTAGTAAAAAAAATTTGATGAAAAATAAATATAAAATATTTTTAACAAAAAATTTTTGTGATAAAATTAAAATAAAAACCTCCCTATTAAAACTAAATTAACAAATAAGATTTTGTAGAATTAAATTAAAAATATTATGTTGATGGTTTATACATTGATTATATACATAGAAGGCTTCTTATTCAGCTTATCAGCTGAGTTTGAACAGACAAGAAATGCATGATATTGATCGTTATGAACTCTTTAATTTAATAGATTTGGTCCGATCCATATAACTTTTACTAACATCATCCTATATGAACCTAACTTTCTTTCTTTCGATCAACTAAAAATAATAATATTTTAGGGTTATTTAGATATTAGGTCTTCAAATTTTCAATAATTTCATATTAGTGCCTCAAATCTCAATAATTGCTCATTAATCTCTTAAGTCCTGAGGGCTCTTGCAATTTGGTCTCTTAAAGACCAAAATAGCTCTTCTTATGATTTCTCTTTTAAAAACTATCTTGTTCAAAGAAAGGCTTATTTGTACTTTGGTACTCTAAAGTTTACATCCTTTTAATTTTAATACCCCAAAGTCTTTTTGACACTTTGATACCCTAAATTTTACACCTTTTTTTACTTTGATACCCTAAATTTTTCCTAATTATTTTTATGACAAAATTTATATCTTTTTCAACTTTGAAACCCTAAACTTTTCTTTTTGGCACTTTGATACCTCAACCTTTAGGGTATCAAAGTTTAAAAAGTTTAAACTTTGAGGTGTCAAAGTTAAAGTTTTGAAATCATTGGAGTATGAAAGTTAAAAATGTGTTAACTTTAAGGTTAGTATAAAGCGTCAAAAAAGATTTTGAGGTATCAAAGTTAAAAAGGATGTAAATTTTGTGGTATCAAAGTGTCAAAAAAATTTGTGATAATAAAGTTTAAACATGTGTAAACTTTAGAGTGTCAATTTGCAATAAGCCTTCAAAAAAAATTACTTGAAAGTGTTTTGGTCATTGAGGGACCAAATTGCAACAACCCTAGGATTTGATGAGCTAACGAGCAATTTCATTGTTGATGGTTTATATGATCACACAATTAGTATGTATCCAAGGTAAGATAATTTCGATGAGGTAGAGGAGATTGATGAAGGGACAGCCTTCTTCTCCGACTTTATGTCTGGTTCTTAAATTGGGGTTGCTGAACAATATGCACATTATTTGGTTGAAAATTTGTAATAAGAAAATGAAAGAATTGAATTTGATTTATTCTTGAATTTGATTTATTCTTTCTAACTGCTCAGAAAAAGAATGTTTACAACTCTCTCAATCTCTAACTGATTACAATTTGAATTTTCGATTACAAAAGAGAAGAAGATCGG